CCCCCATGCGGCCCAAACCAAATGTATGTGCGGCCCAAACCAAATTTTCATCTTCTAATGTGGCCCAGTGAAGGTGAAAGGTTGGACACCCCTGGTCTAGATGGTCGGGGTATAAATAAAAAAAAATTCTCTATCATATACAGCAGGGGTCGCAAACTCAATTTACCTGGCAATCTTCCTCTGAGGGCCCCCCTCAAAAAAAGGCACACTCAGCAGCAGCAGCTACCCCCCACCACGACAGGGGAGTAAACTTTGTGAGGAGGGCCCAGGCAGCCTCCAGAGCCGAGGTGGCTGAAGCAGGATGAAGAGGAGGAGGAGGAAGCATTGCCGGGCGCTGAGGCAGCCGCTGGCCAGGCTGGTGCTGGGGGGGCAGACAGAGAAAGAGAGCCAGAGATCCACTTCTGGATGATAGTTTGTGGCAAGGCAGGGGCCACAAACTATCATCCGGAGGGCCGCAAATGGCCCCCAGGCTGCATGTTTGAGACCCCTGATATATAGGAATGCTGTTTACATTGTTTAGCAATGAGACTACAGTGGCTTTATCCCTTCCCCAATTTAGCATTACTGGAATAATATTTTGGCAAATTATACAGTACTTTGGTAATTCAGCACTGGGCTAACTGCTCTGAACAGGTGCCAGCTCTCTGCTTCTGCACCTGCCAGAAAAACAATTTGGAGCTTCGTCATGCAGGGCTATTCAATTAATTTTTACTTAATTAGCTCCAGTCTGAAAAAACACTCATGGGAATTCCCAAAATGGCTGCGAGTCACATTACTTGTTCATGACAGCACATGTCTGAGCACAGGGCTTAATTTCTCTCTCTTATTATAGCTTTGTTTACCTGCATATGTCAGCAAGAATGGAAGAAGGTGAAAAGAGATAGTGTAAAGCATGATGCAGGAATTCTTGGCCAAGATGCTATTGACCTACCTCCTAAGAAAGATAAGCACAATTGTATCACAAACCTTAACATCTGTTTATAGTGATTCCTTCCTCTTTCAATGTGTTAACTCATTCAAAATGGAAAATGATCATTCTCCTTCCTTGAACCTCTGCTTAAAATTACTACTAATCAGAGGGATGGTGGAAGCTTTAACCATTACATTTTTACCACCTCAAACCATTAAGCAATCAGTGCCAAAACAGAATTTTAGGAGTGAGGAACAGAATTACAATATCAAAATAAATGTTCACTTAAACTGACAAAACATATATATATTAAAGTCACAATATGCTCTGTGTACTGGATCATCTCAGTTCCCTTTTGTTAAGCAGCAGTTCACTATGTACTGGAACTATGTATCCAAACCCAATATATTTATTTTATTTACTCCCCGTTTCTTCAAGAAACATCAGAAAATATTCAATGTTCCTCATAAAAACCCAGAGGCAAATTAGGCTAGGACTATATGATCAACTCAATGAGTATCATGATTGAATTGAAATTTGGATATGGATCTTCTAATACATTGCTTCCCAAGATGTCTTTGGACTATAGCTCCCAGAAATCCTCGACAGCATAGTTAGTGGTGGGGGCTTCTGGAAGTTTTAGTCTAGGAATATCTGGGGACCCAAGGTTGGGAACCATTGTTCTTGTACAGTCACTACAGCTAAGTAGGTACAGATACTGTGTACACCAGGGGTCAGGGAACTTTTTTACCTTTTACCCCCCAAAAAATTTATATACGCCGACATTACCCCCTTGATTCGAAAGGAAGGAATTAAAAATATTATTGAATCTACACAGGCTGTGTACCGAACTAGCAGGATGCACCAAATTTGATAAAGATGTGCACTATTTTTGCTGGAACACATTGCACTCCAGCCATGGTGTAGTATGGGAGTAGTAAGGTGTCCAATGTGCCTAGCAAGTTGCATTAAATTTTTGCTAACTTGCAGAGGATCATTAGTGGCTGCCAGAGTGGTGCTAGCAATGACATGCTTGCTAGAGACAGGCAACGCAGAATTGGGGGGGGGGCTTTCCCTACCACTTTAATCATTCTATGTGTGGTGTGTGAAAAGGAACAAACCAGGTTAAAGGTCATGTCACCCACCCTGGTGCCACAGCCCAATATCAAAGGACCAGTGTGCTTTTTTATCATCATCAAT